TCTCAAGAACATTCGACTGAGAGAAGAGTAAATAGTGTACGAAGTAGTCTCCTGCAAAAAAGAAACAACAGCACAAGAAGTCTCCGCATTCAACAAAAATCATTCACTTGCATGAGATCGACAATCCTAAGGCTACGCTTAAAGGCAGTGACACCCAATTCGCCTTCGATAATTTGTCATTCTGGGGCCTTTCCGTGCCCTAGATTACAGTTATGACATTAAAATACTCCAAAAGTCCCAAAAAAACCCCGATTTTTGGAGACCCTCTCTTCAGAGGGAGGACGAGTTTGGAATTGTTCGACCCCGTCGGCATACCAGCGAGGAGCAGCTGCAACTGCATGACAGCCAGCGGCTGCAATTGCAACTGCAGCGCATGCTGTCGTGGATTCGTCGTCTGAAGGAGGCTGACCGCAAAAAGCAACTGCACTGTTGCAACTGCAGTTGCAGTTGCAACAGCACTGCAACGGCAACTGCAACGGCAACTGCAGTTTACGCTAATGTGGATTTCGTCCGAAGAAGGCGGAGTGAAAAGAAAATTAGGCGGTTGTTGACTGATTTTGATGATTGGTTTTCTGATTGGTTTTCTCTAATCTTAATTATTAAAGGCGAAAGATAGGCGAACGAAACTTTGGCTCGCTCGTATATCTTGGAGGTTTTTTGGAGTGCAACTGCTAATGTGAGCAAAGAGTATCTTTGTATTAAGTGCAGTAAGAGGTAGTTAATTCTTCTTCGAAATAAAGTTAACTTGCTTGAAAATGACCATCCTACCCGGGTGGCTCAATATCTGGAAACCTTAGAGTTCGCTAAACTTGGCCTACAGATCTTATTTGACATGCTAATTACGAAAATGATGCTCTTGTGCCTTTAGAGCTCTTCTAATATGCTTACCGTACGTGGATGGTAGACCAAAACATCAATGTGCCAGTATTTTGCATAATGCCTATCTGACATTGTTAACGAATATCATGTTATCGCTAACATCACTACCACCTCGATAGCGATCACCCCCCGCCCCTTCACTGACTCCCAATGCGGCAACCCAGGTGTGGCATGCTACACCCCATGCTTGACTATGCTATTGATTCATATGAGTATCCTTGATTGTAACTTATTGACACTGCTCAAATTTTCGATCGTCTATTAGTGCATGATCACTGCCCAAATTTTTTGGGTAGTGCATGATGAGGGGCTATTTTTCAAGTTATTGGGCTTTGAAACAATTAATCTCACAATGAAGGCAGCGTCCTGACAAAGTGGAAAGTTCAGTGTTTTTATGTGTTGTAATGGCCCGGCCCTTCAAATAACCAGGGAAGTACGATGGCCTAGGCCATTTGATATGAGGTGCATATTGGCTAGAGCATTTTTGAACGCTGTTTTTAAAGCTGCATTCCGTTTCTGCTGAACGCTTCTTTCAAAGGAGTTATGACAGCCTGAAAATCCTGTTTTTGAGCGCTCTTTAGTTCAAGCACGCTGCCATGTAGGCTAATGGTGCAGCGAATCCTTTAAAGAGGCTCCTATTACACGCAGTGCCAGTAAACTGCGCTGTACCTATATACCTATATACTTTCTTTTTTTAGGTCAAATATGTCAAAAACATCGCTGTAATGTCTGCTGGCTGTTTCAAGTGCGTATCTAACTAGCATTCAAAATGCAAAAGTATTCGCTCTCCACCGCATTCGAACCACTGACCTCTCCCTTATAACGCCAGCACTCTAACCACTACACGCTGCACCACTAGCTATACAGCAGCGTCCTCAAAATTAAGGAGTGCTTATAAACGGGATTTCCAGGCTTCCATAGCTCCAGAAGTTCCGGAAGAAAAAAAGAAACGGACTACAGTTTTTGAATCAGCATTCAAAAGCGCTTTCGCCAGTATGCACCTCATATCAAACAGCCTCGGCCACTGAAATAATTCCCTTGTAGTTGTGAAGTCCTAGCCAAAATCGTTGGTGCTGTACATTGTAGCGAGCACTGCGTTCATACTTCCAAATTTGAAGTCAAGGGCTCCACAAAAGCAAGGAACCCTTGGTTGATGTTTTGTCAAGTTTTGTCACAATGCTTATAATCGTTAATTGACTGCTGGGTGGCATCCTTGAATGAACGCACCGATAAGTATAGTTCTGCGAATTATGGATGTGGTTTCACTTGAAATTTGTAGTACTATGTATAGGGTTTTCCGCAGTTCCGCATGTGTTATCACGCAATATCGCGGCAGGGCGAACGCCAGAAAGGGAGTGAGGCACCATTTGGAAGATCAAGGCAAGGTGTACAACATATACACAGGGACTTCGCATCATATGATTTACCCTAATTTCCGGGGTATAAGGCGCACCTTGTATAAGCCGCACCCGCCGCGGCGAACAGTTGCGCGAAAACGCTTTCTAAATGAGTGCTCTTTGAATCTAAAAAACTGAAAACTCAGTATGCAAATCATGCCTCCAGGCTATTTCCTCTTCTCAGAACGTATACTTTGATATCGTTTCTACAGGTGGGAAGAAGGTGCTCTCAATGGTGTTTATGGTGTTTAGATAATTCTTTCTTTTGTTTCCAATGATGTTACCGGTGCTACATTTGTGATTTCTTCCTTTCCAATAAAGCTATTGGTACTGAAACTTTGCTATCCTCTTACAATGATACTACTGATATTTTGAAAGTTTTTGATCAATTCTTGTCATTCTTGAGGAATCAAAAAAAAGGTCCAATTACTACTGAAATTAAAATAGCAAAGAACGGGAGCAAAAAACTACTACTTTTGAAAATGGTTGCTGTTGGCTGCTTGTGCGGCGCCGCGCATCGCGAATGTCATCATACATCAGTCCGCGCGCGGTAAAAGCTACTGCGCCTTATACCCTGGAAATTAGGGTATATGAAATTTTAGACCAATTCTTGAAAGGCTCTAGCTACAAACCGAAATCATTCGTATGTTTGTAGAAAAAAATGCTAAAGGGCCCCATTTTGCTCCCGCATACACTCTCTACATCAGACACTCGTACGCATAGTTCCGCCGTTTTCCATGCCTAGAAATCGGGGAAACAAATTTTGGCATACTTTGGCTAAAGCTGTATTGAGCAATTCTCAAGTAGTTGATTCAATATTATAAACCTTTGTAAGTAAATATATAAATTTTCAGCTTTTTCGAGAAACGTCAGATTCTGTCTGAGTTTGTCTCTCGAATCTGATCCATAAAGAATTAATCACATAGTCCTGATTATGCTCACGATTTTGAGGAAGGAGATACCTGAGTAAATTTGAGGTCTGCAGGAATTTTGTGAATGCAGATGAGTAGATACTTTTGAATTCTTTTCTTTTGATTTCAAACTTTGCATAGAAAATATGTTTGTGCTTCACGTTGTGAAGTTTGCTTTGCTCTGTCTATATTACCTGTTCACCTCTATATCATTCGCTGCTGCGGTAGCATGTAATACGACATCATCTTTGGGACGACCTAATAGATTCCCCATCATCTTCCCCAGGCTGGCAAAACTTTTGCACTTCTGCTCAGGTTACTGGCTAAAACCTGTTTTGGATGGATGGAGAAGGTCACTATCACCCGATGGATATTGGTGACACTTACAAGCTGCCTCAATTTCAAGGCGTTCGTTTGCCTTGAACGCGGGAATCACAACTTGCACCTTTATAAAGGTCACCACAGCAGCCTTGATGGTGACACACTCTTTTAGTTCTTCTTTTTCAGTTCCAAATCTATAATCAGAAGAGAATGCAATTTATTAAAGAATACTAGTAAAAGGATAGTCTGGAACCAAGGATTTACAATGTAGTACAGCATGTCCGATAGGGGAGGCGTGCAAGTGGTACCCAGGCAGCCGATTGCTGTCGCAGCCAACCGCCAGAGCTGGCTTCAGCGCCGCGGCATACCGTAAAATAATTACGCTAGCCGTCTGAAATCTCCGCCGAGAGGTCTTCTCGCACCTCGTCGCGCTGAGGTGCGATATCAGCCTTAGGGACAGCGCAACATTATCAATATCTATATCATTTCGAACAGCAAAATAATTCACTGATAAAAACAAATGAATAGATTTACATAGAGTAAAGTCTTCCTAAAGAAGAACGGTTATGCAATTCAGTTCCTTAAAATAACCAGAAGTTGAAGTTTCAAGATGCAAAATATTTTTTCGCATTTGGTCGAATTTTTGTAATATATTTTTTTGCAATGTTGAACATAGAAACGTTGTTAGAAAGCATAAACTGTCTACTACAAAACTTTGCAAAAAATATGTAGTAAGAAATCGATCGCATGCGGAAAAAATGATTCTCAAAATGACATTTTCAGAACTGCCCGAGAACTTTCTTTACAGCCTAATAAGTTAATGATGATCTATGCTGTTCTCTTTTTTATCAGGCTTATTTAGCTCGCTTAATATCACTAAGTGTTGGAATGCTGATTGACAGATTTTTTTCACGTCTCATACGTTCTCCTCCGATTTTGGTTCCCAGAAAAATATTTTGATAACTAATCACTTTTTTGCATCTTGAATTAATTCAACTTCTGGTTATTTCTGAATTTCTTAACCGTTTTCCTTTAGAACTCTACTCCGTGCAAATTTGCTCTTTATCAGTGAATTATAGAATTTTTGCTGTTCTAAATGATATTTATACTGAAAATAGATCTGCCCCTGAGGCTGATATCGCACCTCAGCGAGACGAGGTGCGAGAAAACCTCTCGGCAGGAGATTTCAGACGGCTAGCGTAATTATTTTACCATATGCGACGGCGCTGACGCCAGCTCTGGCGGCTGGCTGCGACAGCAGTCGGCTTCCTGGGTACCACTTGCTACGCACCCGTCCGATAGTGACAACAGCCGCTGACGATAGATTTGATAATTGAACCAACAGCAAAAATGAGCATTTGAGCCCTTTTGTGCTACTGATTTCTGGCATGGATAAATAAAATTCACTTTCGGTAGATTTTGTGTCTTTTCAATGCAAAGGAAAACAAATCTTGCATGTAATTGTTTTATTATCGCGTTACGAGCAATAAATCTAAAGGCGAACACGACGAGCGCGATTGCGGAAGAGTCGGCGTTTTCTGTACCCGAGACCGTTGCTAGCCTAAAAAAATATCTTACTCATAGATAAGTTAATGCTAACAATGAATCGAACATTGACTTACCGTCAATGAGGTAGGACCTCCATAATTACTTCCTGGGAGAGATGCGGGGTATGAAGGTGGAGGTGAGGAGGTTCCGTAGCAGCTTTGCACAGCTACTGGATATGAAGCTGCAGGGGGAGAAGTGTAACTGCTTTGGACAGGTGCGGGATACGATAATGGAGGCGGGGAGGTTGCATAACCAGAAGCAGGAGTGTTCTAACAAGGGATGATACCTGGCCTGGTCGAAGTGGCGTTTCCATACAAAATGCATACTGTTTTATAGAGCATGGAACGCTGAGTTCAAACCTACTTTTGGTATCTGCAAAGCGCTTCTGGGAGGAGTTATGGGAATTTTTTGGTGCAAAAATTTGAAAGCGCTGCTACAATAAAACCATTCGGAACCTTAGTCCGTGATTTAAAATGGGGCCATAATTGCTATGAGGGCGTTTTATGAAACAAGGCCTTCAATCTTTTGAACTCATGTCAGTTCTACTCCTTTCAACAGCTGAAAAGACCTCAACACCTATTTTTATCTTGGCCGAATCATTGAATTTCTACCTCAAAAAATTCGCATAACTCTCCCCTTCCAGAAGCGCTTTGCAGATACCGAAAGCAGATCTGGAATCAGTTCAATGCTCTAAAAAATAATATTCATCTTATACGGAAATGCCACTTCGACCAAGTATCCTTTCCTTGTAAGAAGCTGGAGGTGCCGATGATGCGTAAGTAGGTGGAGATGGAGGAGGGGGAGGTGGAGGTGGTGATGGAAAAGCTGGAGCTACTGAGGCACCATCAGAGTTATACGCCTGCTGATTTCCACCGCTGGCGCTGATTGGAGGAAGTGCAGGATGAATTAGCTCAGCGTTTTCATAGCCTGAACTCTGCTACTGACCATAGACCATTACTGCTGCAGCAGCGGCAAAGGAAACTATCACGGAACGCATCTGTAATCAAGTTTTGTTAGAGAAATTGAAAGAGCTGGGCAAAGTTCAATTTAGTGCGAGACTTAGAGAAATGTAAGGCTCTTGAAAAAGTTTTGCGTAACAGCGAACTGTGTTTGTGCGCTATCCTGCAGACCTTTTTATACTGTTTTAGCTTGCAGTTTTATTACTTTTATTCAGTCCGGAAAGTTTTCTGTGACATCAACTCGCGCAACGCCTCGTCAAATATTATGGGAAATCTCGTTGGATGTTATTAATGTCACGATTCATTTTCCGATGCTATGAAACTAATTGACTGTGCTTGAGTGTATTAATCTTGTGCTTTTTTAGGTGAATATAATATGGGTCTATGACAGTATTTTGGAACTGCCTAACAAGCCTTGAGCGGTTCTCAGCTAACAAATTCCTGCAGCTAAGTTCTGCAGCCTGGAGTTCATTATGGTGAAACTTTGAGGCACGTGTCATCCATTCTACGACTAGGAGACGCGAGACCGCATTGCACGCATTTCCTAAACAAGCTGAATCGTGGACTCAGTAGGTTTGTACTTGTGATTTATCTCGTCCAGGTTCACTCATTCATTGGACACAGGGAAGAACAAACTCGAACATGTTAAGACAATGTCCGTAATGCGGTCTCGCGTCTCCTAATCATAGAATACAATACCACCCGTAATTTGTGAAAAAAAATGGCGGCGGCACTTAACTTACGCGGCGCCGCCGAAGTTAGGTGACTTTTGCCGCGTCGCGCGGCAAAAGTCAGCGGAAAAGCGGCCAAAGTCACCTAACTTTGTCGCGCAACGCCTAACTTTTTATAAAAAAAGACCTTATCTTGATTCAAAATTTATGAATTCTATATATAAGAGTACCATTCAACTCAGCTCGGCGAGGCGCATCTTCCAATATACGGATGTGCCTAGTTGTGGGATATAAGTTTCTTTCCTGGAATTTTATGTAAATGGACCATTCAGTGTGCTTATTCCAGAGGATACGTACACATTCTATTGAGCACAGCAGAAATAGGGCAGGTATAGTTTAAGAGCTCATTCTGCATGGATATATGTGAAACTGGGCAGCTCATTCTGCATGGATATGTGTGAAAGTGGGCTTTTCTCGGCGAAGTATGACGGGTCCCAAAATGCAGGAAGACAAAGGGAAATGGTCGGAAATCGCATGAGAAGCACATATCGCGGAATGCCGCGCGTGCTGTGCAATGTACAATACCACTCACAGAACGGGAATTGCGCGAAATTCCAGAAATTTCGCGATTCCGGATTATCGCAAATTATGCAGCGCCATAACTTTCTTCGGAATTAATATATTCTAAATTCGAAAGCAGCACTGTGTTCATCTCGTCAAGGCGAATCTTTCTACATACGTCATGTCATCTACATCTTGTTTTCAGTTTTCTCAAATTGTTCTGAGGAGGTCCCTTTGCAAGTATGTAACGCAGCGCCTATCCAACTTGAAAGCTTCCAGTAAGCACCATTCGATAGTGCTCTTCTTGTGCATTATAGTGCGCTAGTAAGCTGCCGCAGACTTCTTTTCAAAAGAGAAAAAAGCGTTGGTAAATTCTGGAAAAATCACTCGTTTCCAGATTCTACTCGCCGTAACTTTCTTTGGAGTGGATATTTTCTGAATCCGAAAAATGCATTGTGCTCAGCTCATCAAGGCAAATCTTTCGGTATGCAGAATGTCCTTGATATCTCGATTTCAGTATTCTCAAAACTTTCTGCGGACGTCTCTTCGCAAAGGTGTGAAGCAGCGCGTATTGCCCCCAGTACATTCAGAAAGAAATTTTCGATAGTACTTCTTTTGTAGATTATGGAGAGTACTCTGCGTTGATACCACTGCTTTCAAAGGAGTTAGAAGGGCTGGTGAATTCTGGAAAAATCATGTCCTTCTAAATTTTTCTCAACGTAACTCTAAAATATGAAGCTCTCTTGCTAAGCAGATGTGATTTTCGTAACCAGCAGGTCGGATAACCCTTAAGTGCAAGTTTTCCAAGATTTTCAAGTAATTTCATTTTTTCTCGTTTTACGCTTTGAAGCTGGCCGATGGATTTTGGTCAAAATGTTCATGCTCTTAAATTGTAAGGAAAGTTCGCTTATAGAGGTTTTCGAACACGCTCTTTACGAAAATCGTGGTCTTTGAGGATTACAGGGTCTTTTTGGTGAGATACGGTGAGGTGACTGTAACTGCATCACGAAAGTGCGTAAATTGGCCCGCACTTCTCGCGTATCTGTCAGCCAACCTTGCCTGCTTGCTTTTCTCAGTCAAAGTTACTAGGAACTGCGCTACCGAATGGTGCATGAATCAGGCTCCAGTCTGTGAAATTCGCCGAGTTACGAGCCTATGAAAACACGTCCTCATGAATTTTGCCCAAAATCTAAAGATCGCAAATCTCGTCGAAATTCCACCGTGAGCGCTTGTATGACACTCGCATTGCGGATACTGTGTTCGCTTCGCCCAAAAACTCCCACTGTATTGAATATGGTACTTGCATATGCTTCAGCTGCTCAGTTGAATATCAGAGCTATTTCAGTGGCTAGAACTCAAATTACTAAATCTAACACAATAAGATCCATTAAGGACGCGAAAGATTTTGATCAGCGTGTTGTACAAGCGCTCATGGTGGAATTTCGACGAGATTTGCGATCTTTAGATTTTGGGCAAAATTCATGAGGACGTGTTTTCATAGGCTCGTAACTCGGCGAATTTCACAGACTGGAGACTGATTCATGCACCATTCGGTAGCGCAGTTCCTAGTAACTTTGACTGAGAAAAGCAAGCAGGCAAGGTTGCTGACAGATACGCGAGAAGTGCGGGCCAATTTACGCACTTTCGTGATGCAGTTACAGTCACCTCACCGTATCTCACCAAAAAGACCCTGTAATCCTCAAAGACCACGATTTTCGTAAAGAGCGTGTTCGAAAACCTCTATAAGCGAACTTTCCTTACAATTTAAGAGCATGAACATTTTGACCAAAATCCATCGGCCAGCTTCAAAGCGTAAAACGAGAAAAAATGAAATTACTTGAAAATCTTGGAAAACTTGCACTTAAGGGTTATCCGACCTGCTGGTTACGAAAATCACATCTGCTTAGCAAGAGAGCTTCATATTTTAGAGTTACGTTGAGAAAAATTTAGAAGGACATGATTTTTCCAGAATTCACCAGCCCTTCTAACTCCTTTGAAAAGGAGTGTGCGGCTACTTTCTAGCGCTCCATAATCTACAAAAGAAGTACTATCGAAAATTTCTTTCTGAATGTACTGGGGGCAATACGCGCTGCTTCACACCTTTGCGAAGAGACGTCCGCAGAAAGTTTTGAGAATACTGAAATCGAGATATCAAGGACATTCTGCATACCGAAAGATTTGCCTTGATGAGCTGAGCACAATGCATTTTTCGGATTCAGAAAATATCCACTCCAAAGAAAGTTACGGCGAGTAGAATCTGGAAACGAGTGATTTTTCCAGAATTTACCAACGCTTTTTTCTCTTTTGAAAAGAAGTCTGCGGCAGCTTACTAGCGCACTATAATGCACAAGAAGAGCACTATCGAATGGTGCTTACTGGAAGCTTTCAAGTTGGATAGGCGCTGCGTTACATACTTGCAAAGGGACCTCCTCAGAACAATTTGAGAAAACTGAAAACAAGATGTAGATGACATGACGTATGTAGAAAGATTCGCCTTGACGAGATGAACACAGTGCTGCTTTCGAATTTAGAATATATTAATTCCGAAGAAAGTTATGGCGCTGCATAATTTGCGATAATCCGGAATCGCGAAATTTCTGGAATTTCGCGCAATTCCCGTTCTGTGAGTGGTATTGTACATTGCACAGCACGCGCGGCATTCCGCGATATGTGCTTCTCATGCGATTTCCGACCATTTCCCTTTGTCTTCCTGCATTTTGGGACCCGTCATACTTCGCCGAGAAAAGCCCACTTTCACACATATCCATGCAGAATGAGCTGCCCAGTTTCACATATATCCATGCAGAATGAGCTCTTAAACTATACCTGCCCTATTTCTGCTGTGCTCAATAGAATGTGTACGTATCCTCTGGAATAAGCACACTGAATGGTCCATTTACACTAAAATTCCAGGAAAGAAACTTATATCCCACAACTAGGCACATCCGTATATTGGAAGATGCGCCTCGCCGAGCTGAGTTGAATGGTACTCTTATATATAGAATTCATAAATTTTGAATCAAGATAAGGTCTTTTTTTATAAAAAGTTAGGCGTTGCGCGACAAAGTTAGGTGACTTTGGCCGCTTTTCCGCTGACTTTTGCCGCGCGACGCGGCAAAAGTCACCTAACTTCGGCGGCGCCGCGTAAGTTAAGTGCCGCCGCCATTTTTTTTCACAAATTACGGGTGGTATTGTAGATGATATATACATTGAATTGGACCGTTGCTCGATTGTGTTGAACACGTGAATGTGTTGAACTGCCACGCGGGTTTCGAGGGAGTGGAAACCTCGCTAGAATAACAGATAGGCAGCGATAAACACGTGTAAATAAATAACAAAACGTTGTCAATAAATGAGATCTAAACTACAACACAGTGTGATGGACTGAGAAAGGAGTGGCAGCTATTTATTTGCTTGAATCTACATTCTTTTAGCAGCTGCGCGCGACATCCTAATGATAACGAGTGAAAACTGTGCATTAGCCACAGCCATCTACGCCTTCTTTGAAAGAACTGTACTACGAGATGTTGATCTCGTATAGCATACTCGACTGCAATGTCTTCCATATCAACTTGCTTTGTCAAGGGATAATGAAAACAATTGCATAACACAGCAAAGAATTGCGAAAATTACATTCGCTAATATGAACTTCGACCTCCATTAAAAGATGTTTCTCGTGCGCATAGCCTAGCGAGCGTAGAAACTTCCTAATGGCCAAGTACGTCTTAGACAAAATCTTTGGTAACAATGCAAGCATTTAGTAAAATTGTTGATTATTTTCTCCTCGCATTCCAAACCGGAGGGGTTGGGAATGAAAAGTTTCATAATGTCTAGCATACTCCATTCAGGCAAACTTACTCATTACAACCCCTTAACTGTATTTCTTCTAAAACTCTTCCTTGAAAAGTTGCAAAATATTATAAAGTGAAAGAATCGGTCATGCTTATTTGTGGTGTAACAAAATTCTCCATGTTTCCATTTCCGAAACAGAAAGGATCGTGAATTCTCTAGTATTATCTCATAGTAAGTCTGTGCCGAAAATTTCTATAACTATGAAGTACTCCACAAACGTTTCCTTTGTTTGAGGCCGAGTGTTGTGCGAGTGCTCAAAAAACTTGCAACATCGAATGGGCAGTAAAACTGCGTGCTTCCGCTGATATAAGAAGGTGGTGAGGAACCCCACTATCTGCTTGGCTCCGTTCGTAGTTCTAAGTTTACCTTAAGGCACCGTTTACCCAAAGTGGGTATTACAAGATTATGACATAGTAGTGTGGACGTCCACATTAGGCAAATCACCAAGTTGCGCCGCAAAACATTGCTTCTGGAGCGAGAAATCCGTATTTGGTGGTCACTGCACCCAGGTGATTAAACCGCCCACATTGCAGGTTCTCCCTTGCGCGCGCTTGTTGCACCGGGTCTCAAAAACAAAGATTTTCGGGGGATTCGTGGATTTTCGACTCCATATTCGAAACCAGGGTTTTCAAAAGGCCTAAAAGCAATAAAAACAAGGAAGAGATGAGTAGCGTGCCTCTAAGCGGACTTGTCTCTCGGCTTTTATCATTTTCACTCTGTTTCCTAACAAAAATTGCTTATAGATGCGTTCCTTGATAGTCCTTTTCGCTGCCACCTCAGCAGTACTGGCTCACGGTCAATTACAAAGCTCAGGCTATGAAGACGCAGAAGTAATTCAACTCTCACCTCCTCCAGTCAGCGCTAACGGTGGAGATCAGCAGGCATACAATTCTGATGGTGCGGTATTAACTCCAGGTTCTCCTCCACCAACTCCTCCATCTCCTCCTCCTCCAAATGTTTACACTTCATCAGAACCTCCAGCATACAGTACTCCTGCGTCTGGTAATTATGCAACTTCTCCACCAACACTTTCATATTCCCTACCTGCACAAGGAAGTTACGGGACTTCCCCACTTCCAGCTGTGTACCCCTCTGTTTCCACCGGCACCTATGACGGAATAGCCAGTGATGCTCCTGTAATCGTAAGTAATTGTTCAGCTCTAACAAGTTTTTGACTGATTAGAGTGATTTCTTAGGCCAACGATATCGGATACAGACATCGCCGTCTTTTACGTCAGCGCACTCATGAAATTCGCCTCTAGATTTTCTCATACACAATCTGAGCTCAGTAACTGATGCAAAATTCTTCTTGACTGCTTCAGCAAGACAAAGATTGATGACAAACTTATCTGGCTAATGTTTCGAAGCTCGATCATATTATGATGCAACATTTTCCAAAATCTTGTGCTTGAATAAATATTCGGAACTTTGAGCACTTTTCAGCTAGTCTGCGATTTTTTACCACTTAAGGAGCTTACAGTTGCTTACGAGATTCGAGAAGCTGACACAAACGCCGATTAGTAACTGCCTACTCAGGCAGTCGATGGGATACCTCCGGAGCAGATGTGGCAGGGTCGCGGGCTTTCCCCAGCGGAGGATTGCCACTTTGCGCTCCGGAGCCCTGTAATTTCACGCATTTTTGTGCTCCGGGGCTCTCCCAAAAGTGGCGCACCTCCGGAGCAAAGATTTGCGCGTCGCGGAGAGGGGTGCCATTCGTCCTGTTTGTGACGTCACCGTGACGTCACGGTGAATTAGGACCCCTCTCCGCGACACGCAAATCTCTGCTCCGGAGGTGCGCCACTTTTGGGAGAGCCCCGGAGCACAAAAATGCGTGAAATGGCAGGGCTCCGGAACGCGAAGTGGCAGACTCGCGCCATATGCCCGCCGGAGATATCCCTTCGACTGTCTGAGTACAGTTCATGCAGGTTTACGAGAACCCAAACTACATTGCATCTTTTTTCACGATTACATTACGAATGCTATACATCGTTTTTACACAAACACAGATTGTGGGAACGTAATTTTTAAACTACTAATCACGACAACTGCCCTTTAATTATGATTATATATTTTTCTTGTGAAAGTATGGAGGGGCATGACGGAGTGGACGAATTCTCAAAGAAGAAAGTTCCTCTTGTTCCTCGTAGAAGAAAAAAAGTTTCAATATTCGAGATCGGTGATTTAGTTCGAGTCTTCCATGTGGAGTCGCTTCCAAATCATAATTGAATTGGGCTTTGAGTTGCGCACTTCAGCAGTTTTTACGGAATTACTCATCCTTCAATAACACTGTTCATTTCGATTACATGTCTTTGAAAACAGAATGATTGCACATTGTTATTGTGTCATGTAAGCATTGAAGACCACTCGTTTACAAATCTTTATCAACAGGAAGACATCCTTAAGCTCAGCGGCACTAATGTATCGGTCTCATCAATAAAATAAAACGCGAAACGAAAGTTTGCGCATTAAAGACCCGATTAACTCTTACGAGAAAAATAACCAAATATTAGAACTTAGTGTTGAAGTCGACGCAGCCGATACATTAGTCGGCGATTCTTATAGCCAGCAGCTTCAGCTGCAACGTTATAGCTGCCAAGTACAGGTTTTCCATTGTTTCCATTGACGCCATTACTCCCTGGAGCACCTGCGAAGAAGCCATTTCCATTACTACCCGGGGTCTTCGGGACAAATCCGGGACCAAGCCCATTAAGTGAGATATATTGCATTATTCCGTAGCTGCCAATGGTTGTTCCAGCGGCTGATACACGTCCGTTCAGAACGGGTTTGCCAGCTCTAGCTACTCCAGCTCCAACATCGGTGTTGTACGCTTGCTGATCTCCTCCGTCAGCACTAGGTGGAGCTGGTGGACCAGGCTGGAGCGCCTCGGCCATTTCGTAGCCGGAAATCTGAGATGGAGCATAGCCAGCAAAAGTAGCGGTGATGAAGAAGAACAGCAGAGCGATACGCATCTAGAACTAGTATATACATTTTTTGCAACGCTAATTTACAAAAGCAGAGGAAGCTTACAAGAGCAGCAATTACTCTTCGAAGAAAGAAGAATATAGATGAAAGGTTTGTTCACCCATCCTTTAAATATCTTTGATGTTTTATGGTTTTACTACTTTTCCAATCCAATAATTTTCTTCTGCTAACTTTCGCGCGTCACACCCAAGCATGGAGCCTATCACAGCTTGCAGAGTTGTTCTACCTCAGCTTGTATTCTGCAATTTCTTCCGCTATCAGGAATTGATCTCAGGAGATAAGACTCACAGAGAAGAGGTTATCATGACCTTTTCAACATGGAATCAATCACAATTCAAGCATACCTCAATGGCATCTAATGTCTCGTTCTACTGCGAAAGCCATTCCGATTAAGAAATTGACATAAAGAAGTGTGCTTCCTGGAACTTCATCCCAAACCGGTCTTCAAACGTCCGAACCTCTTCCCGAGTTTTGAAACTTCCCTACCATTATGGTTTTACAGCCGCATAAATCACACGTAACGCTCACGAAATCAGCAGAATTGTGAACGGCTTGGGTGGTAGGAAATAGAGTAAAACCGTTATCGCTCAACTTCCACTGAGCAATAGGAACGGTGTGCTTACACAAAGGGCAATTTATATGATTAGCTGCTCTATAAAAAAGTAAACCTCTTCGTTATCAACAACAAAAAATTACATTCTTAGGCTAACGTATGCTGAGTGTTCAAATGTGCATTGTTGAGGTATTGATATTCAACTGTACATCAAAGAATATCTCATTAACTGAAACATAGGTGTTAAAGTGTATTTGCAACGCTTAGAAGAGCAAAGGAGTCGCATTTTCAAGAATACAGTAAATAAGCATTCATTTGTGCTACAAATTGCAGCTTTGTCCTCATTTCTTTATTAGAAGCGTTAGCGCGAAGTAAGGTTTCTATAATCTCGTCGTCTCGCTTTGGATAAGCTCTGGCTTTTTACATCGAAATCTTTACTACCACTCAACAGTTTTGCTCTACCAAGTTGATGTAATAAATTCTGGTGGATGAAGAAGCTACAGTTCCCCTTGGTCTTCTGATAGCGACGAAGTTTTTGAAACAACAAGTTAGAATAACCATATCGAGGCTGAATGATCCACTAACACATACGCTCAGTTTTTGAGAAGAGAAGCATCAATCGTTTTAACTTTTCCACCAACACTCAAAAACGCTACCCTGCTAAGGTTGTCAGCATGAAAGCGATGATAGAATGTTCTTAGACATAAGACAAGGCAATGACCATTCATTCAAAATTTTCGGCTTGCAATCAGGAATTAAGTTGATGTTCAGCTTTTCCTGCACTCTTCCATCATAACCTCAAACATGGTGTATCCGAAATAAATTGACATTGAATCTCAAGTCCAACGTCAATAAATTTTCGATTGACTGTATAATCTTGTATCAGTGACGTAGCGAAGGTCAATGTTGGGATAGAAAAAAATGGCGAAAATTGGGATTAGTGACGGTTACGTTTTGGCGTTTCCGCCTTCTTCAAGCTCGGAAATGTCGTATTCGTAATCTGTTCTTCCAAATGCTTTGTTCTCAGCACATCGGCACACGGGCAGCCAACAGAGCCAGAAAAAACGAAAAGACGCTGTGTTAACGCTCACATTCCAGCCTTGCGGAGAGAAAACGCCCATCGAACAAGGGCTGCCGCTACTGATGGTGATGCTATTATAGAGGGTGTCCCAAAAATGTGCCTACTGTTTGCTTGTTAATAACTCTCTTGTAATGGAGTCTTTCGAGAAGCTTTAGGTACCATTTTGTAGAGCTGGCTTCAACTCAGATTCACAGTATAGAAAGAATCACCCATCTTTCTTCATTATTGTAGAATTACGGCAGAAATTTCAAAGAGGGTTTTGAGCCACGAAAAGGCATATTTTGACTCAGAAAAAAAAAACAAAACAACAGAAAACTTCTACACTAGGCTAAGTAGAGTTGCTGATTGTAAATGTGAAGTTTGTAACCTATTATGATGCTTCATCATGAAGACATGCGAGGTAAGTAGTAGCGACCGTTTTTCAAAGTTCCTAAAAAGTGCTGTCACACCGTTTACAGAGCTTCGTAATCTTGTACATACCCTATTTTCAGGTGTATAAGCCGCACCCTTTTCGCTCTAAAGGCGAACATGCCAAAAGACTGTCATCATGGAGCGCGTTAAAGGCAGCGTCCGGGCAAAATTTCGCCTCTCATGTTTCTGCCATTCTGGGGCCTTTCGGTGGCCCTGATTACAGTTGCAAAGTCCAAATTGTTCAAAACTCTCGAATAACCCGGTTCTTGGGGACCCTCTCTTCAAGGCGCGGACGAGTTTCGAATTGCTTGTCCCCATCGTCATGCCACAGTAAGAGGAGCTGCAACTGCACGGATGCAGTTGCACTGCAGCGTGCAGAGCAACTGCAATGCAACCGCACACCTACGTAAGCACTCGTCCTCAGGGGTGGTTTGTGATACGAAGAGGCGGCTTGTGATACATCACAGGCCCGTATCTCCTTTTAGAGGGCACGTCAAAGGATTGGACCAACGCAGATCGGATACTCATGGGCCTCTCTTTACAACTATGTGCTAATCTGAGTGAGATATCTTGCCCGGACGCTGCCTTTAAGTGAGAGCAGTATGCGATAAGGCAACCGCTTCGCAAGACATGTGCGCGGCGGCACGCCTGGGTCTGCTCGCGTTTAGAGCAAAAAGGGTGCGGCTTATACGCCTGAAAATAGGATAGTTGAGTATTAAACTCAGCATCCGCGAAAATCGTATTACACAAGTTTTCACATTTTTTGGAAATTTTGGATACGGCGGTTTTCTGACATCATATATCTGAAGTGTCTACCGTAATCCTACAGTAATGAGGATCGTTTGAATCGTACTATACTGTAATTTAAGTTGAAGCCAGTGGCCGTATTCATCAACGAACAACCCAGTGGGTTCCGAAACCCATTTAGTGGTTTTGATGAATATCGATTCTACATCGATATTCATCAAAAGCACTAAACTGGGTTCCGGAACCCACAGGGTTTTCGCTGATGAAATGCGGCCACAGCTCTCCAAAATGGTACTTAAGCTTCTCGGAAGACTTCATTACAAGAAAGTTATTAACAATCAAACAGCAGACATATTTCTTTGGGACACACTGTATATGAATCACTCCTCCGCGCCTGACCTACCGACCCCCCAGATCAGAATCACGAAGGATCTAGAACGGTGCCAGCTCGTTCTTGGTGACGATGCATTCTTCTTTTTGATTCATTC